GAGGACATATTCAACCCTACTGTGAATGTTACCAGCAGCCAAGAGGACATATTCAACCCTACTGTTAAAGTTGCCAACAGCTATGGGTACAGAGACAACCCTACTGTTAATGTTGCAAGCAGCCAAGAAGACATATTCAACCTTTCTGTTAATGTTACCAGCAGCCAAGGTGACAGGGTCAACCCTTCTGTTAATGTTACCAGTAGCAATGGTTACAGAGTCAACCCTACTGTTAATGTTGCAAGCAGCCAAGAGGACAGAGTCAACCCTTCTGTTAATGTTACCAGCAGCCAAGGTGACAGGGTTAACCCTTCTGTTAATGTTACCAGTAGCAATGGTTACAGAGTCAACCCTACTGTTAATGTTGCAAGCAGCCAAGAGGACATATTCAACCCTTCTGTTAATGTTACCAGCAGCCAAGGTGACAGGGTCAACCCTTCTGTTAATGTTACCAGCAGCAATGGGTACAGAGTCAACTCTTCTGTTAATGTTGCAAGCAGCCAAGAGGAGATATTCAACCCTTCTGTTAATGTTACCAGCAGCCAAGGTGACAGGGTCAACCCTTCTGTAAATGTTACCAGCAGCAATGGTTACAGAGGCAACCCTACTGTTAAAGTTGCCAACAGCCAAGAGGACATATTCAACCCTTCTGTTAATGTAACCAGCAGCCAAGAGTACATATTCAACCCTTATATTAATGTTACCAGCCACAAAGGTGACAGGGTCAACCCTACTAATAATGTTGCCAGCAGTCAAGGGTACAGAGACAACCCTACTGTTAATGTTACCAGCAGCCAAGAGGACATATTCAACCCTTCTGTTAATGTTACCAGCAGCAATGGGTACAGAGTCAACCCTACTGTTAATGTTGCAAGCAGCCAAGAGGACATATTCAACCCTTCTGTTAATGTGACCAGCTGCCAAGGTGACAGGGTCAACCTTTCTGTTAATGTTACCAGCAGCAATGGTTACATAGGCAACCCTACTGTAATGTTGCCAGCAGCCAAGAGGACATATTCAACCCGTATTTTAATGTTCCCAGCACCAATGGGTACAGAGTCAAACCCTATTGTTAATGTTGAAAGCAGCCAATGGAACAGATTCAACCCTACTGTTAATGTTACCAGCAGCCAAGATGACAGAGTCAACCCTTCTCTTAATGTTACCAGCAGCAATGGGTACAGAGTCAACCCTTCTGTTAATATTGCCAGCAGCAAGAGGACATATTCAACCCTTCTGTTAATGTTACCAGCAGGAATTGGTACAGAGACAACCCTTCTGTTAATGTTGCAAGCAGCCAAGAGGACATATTCAACCCTTATGTTAATGTTACCAGCAACAAAGGTGACAGGGTCAACCCTACTAATAATGTTGCCAGCAGTCAAGGGTACAGAGACAACCCTACTGTTAATGTTGCAAACAGCCAAGAGGACATATTCAACCCTACTGTTAATGTTACCAGCAGCCAAGAGGACATATTCAACCCTTAAGTTAATGTTACCAGCAGCAATGGGTACAGAGTCAACCCTACTGTTAATGTTGCAAGCAGCCAAGAGGACAGAGTCAACCCTTCAGTTAATGTTGCAAGCAGCCAAGAGGACATATTTAACCCTACTGTGAATGTTACCAGCAGCCAAGAGGACATATTCAACCCTACTGTTAAAGTTGCCAGCAGCAATGGGTACAGAGACAACCCTACTGTTAATGTTGCAAGCAGCCAAGAAGACATATTCAACCCTTCTGTTAATGTTACCAGCAGCCAAGGTGACAGGGTCAACCCTTCTGTTAATGTTACCAGCAGCAATGGGTACAGAGTGAACCCTACTGTTAATGTTGCAAGGAGCCAACAGGACATATTCAACCCTTCTGTTAATGTTACCAGCAGCCAAGGTGACAGGGTCAACCCTTCTGTTAATGTTACCAGCAGCAATGGTTACAGAGTCAACCCTACTGTTAAAGTTGCCAGCAGCCAAGAGGACATATTCAACCCTTATGTTCATGTTACCAGCAGCAATGGGTACAGAGTCAACCCTATTGTTAATGTTGCAAGCAGCCAATTGGACAGATTCAACCCTTATGTTAATGTTGCCAGCAGCCAAGAGGACATATTCAACCCTTCTGTTAATGTTACCAGCAGCCAAGGTGACAGGGTCAACCCTTCTGTTAATGTTACCAGTAGCAATGGTTACAGAGTCAACCCTACTGTTAATGTTGCAAGCAGCCAAGAGGACAGAGTCAACCCTTCTGTTAATGTTGCAAGCAGCCAAGAGGACATATTTAACCCTACTGTGAATGTTACCAGCAGCCAAGAGGACATATTCAACCCTACTGTTAAAGTTGCCAGCAGCAATGGTTACAGAGTCAACCCTACTGTTAATGTCGCAAGCAGCCAAGAGGACAGAGTCAACCCTTCTGTTAATGTTGCAAGCAGCCAAGAGGACATATTCAACCCTTCTGTTAATGTTACCAGCAGGAATGGGTACAGAGTCAACTCTTCTGTTAATGTTGCAAGCAGCCAAGAGGACATATTCAACCCTTATGTTAATGTTACCAGCAACAAAGGTGACAGGGTCAACCCTACTGTTAATGTTGCAAGCAGCCAAGAGGACATATTCAACCCTACTGTTAATGTTACCATCCACAAGAGGACATATTCAACCCTTATGTTAATGTTACGAGCAGCAATGGGTACAGAGTCAACCCTACTGTTAATGTTGCAAGCAGCCAAGAGGACATATTCAACCCTTATGTTAATGTTACCAGCAGCAATGGGTACAGAGTCAACCCTACTGTTAATGTTGCAAGCAGCCAAGAGGACATATTCAACCCTTCTGTTAATGTTACCAGCAGCCAAGGTGACAGGGTCAACCCTTCTGTTAATGTTACCAGCAGCAATGGGTACAGAGTCAACCCTACTGTTAATGTTGCCATCCGCCAAGAGGACATATTCAACCCTTATGTTAATGTTACCAGCAGGAATGGGTACAGAGTCAACTCTTCTGTTAATGTTGCAAGCAGCCAAGAGGACATATTCAACCCTTATGTTAATGTTACCAGCAACAAAGGTGACAGGGTCAACCCTACTGTTTATGTTGCAAGCAGCCAAGAGGACATATTCAACCCTACTGTTAATGTTACCATCCACAAGAGGACATATTCAACCCTTATGTTAATGTTACGAGCAGCAATGGGTACAGAGTCAACCCTACTGTTAATGTTGCAAGCAGCCAAGAGGACATATTCAACCCTTATGTTAATGTTACCAGCAGCAATGGGTACAGAGTCAACCCTACTGTTAATGTTGCAAGCAGCCAAGAGGACATATTCAACCCTTCTGTTAATGTTACCAGCAGCCAAGGTGACAGGGTCAACCCTTCTGTTAATGTTACCAGCAGCAATGGGTACAGAGTCAACCCTACTGTTAATGTTGCCATCCGCCAAGAGGACATATTCAACCCTTATGTTAATGTTACCAGCAGCAATGGGTACAGAGGCAACCCTATTGTTAATGTTGCAAGCAGCCAATGGGACAGATTCAACCCTTATGTTAATATTACCAGCAGCAATGGGTACAGAGTCAACCCTTCTGTTAATGTTGCAAGCAGCCAAGAGAACATATTCAACCCTTCTGTTAATGTTACCAGCAGGAATGGGTACAGGGTCAACTGTTCTGTTAATGTTGCAAGCAGCCAAGAGGACATATTCAACCCTTATGTTAATGTTACCAGCAACAAAGGTGACAGGGTCAACCCTACTAATAATGTTGCCAGCAGTCAAGGGTACAGAGACAACGCTACTATTAATGTTACCTACAGCAATTGGTACAGAGGCAACCCTATTGTTAATGTTGCAAGCAGCCAGTGGGACAGATTCAACCCTTATGTTAATGTTACCAGCAGCCAAGAGGACAGGGTCAACCCTACTGTTAATGTTACCAGCAGCCAAGGGGTCAGAGGCCACTCTTTCTACTGTGATACGGACAGATTACGGACTGCACGGGAAGAAATGAAGAAAGAGACAACTGCTTTGCAACAGGAGGTGGAGGCCCGGTTTGCCACCAGGGATACTTCTTTGAATGCTGGAAAAGGCCGTGACATATATGGAACAGGAACAAGAGGTAACAGAAATCTCGTGATCTTGGGTATAAACCTTTTGTCATCAACCATATGTTTCAGATTGTGCTCGTCAAACTCATATATTTCTTCCTCTGAAACATTGTAGGTTTAACAATTGCTTGTTAATTCTATGTCCCTGTAGACATCCCAGGTGAGAATAAGTCATGTATGTCACCCGAAATGTTTAAAGTTAGGTTGTCGCTGACTGTATGTCTTTAGACCATGAAGTCATATATTGTTGCTTATGCTTTCAGTTACTGTGGTTTAAATTGAAAAGTTCTGACTTGGCGACCACAGGCGATCCCACTGCTTCATTCTACAGATTATATTATTTACTTAATCATTAGTACACTGGTTAATTGTTTCAATATATACTCTTCAAAAAAAGAAACGGAAAGCCAGATTTGTGTGAGGTAGGAAAATACATTTATACGAGGAACCGTCCAAGGAATTGAACAAAAATGTTCGTGATAGATATGTGTAGATATCTGCCCAGGAAGATCCTAGTTGCAATAGGTCTTCAGCAACCCATGCTTGCCGTAAAAAGGCGACTATGCTTGTCATAAGAGGCGACTCACGTGATCGGGTGGTCAGGCTCGCTGACTTGGTTGATGCATGTCATCGTATCCCAATTGCGATCGATGCTCATGATGTCAATCACTGGATTGTCTGGTCCAGACTCGATTATTTACACAGACCGTCGTCATATAGCTGGAACATTGCTGAAAGCGGCGTTAAACAGCAAACAAACAAGATATTCAAGTGTATTTTTTTAGCTAATGTTTCAATAGTTTACTATTATTTGCTTTTCGTTTGTGTGTATCGATATATGATGTTCAACAAAGATATAGAGTTGTGTAAAAGTGTTGTGATTGGTCGTTTCAGGGGAAGCCAGATGTGAGCAAGAAGCCAGATGTGAGCACATGGATCCCTGGCAGTCTGAAGAAAGGGTGGAACAAACTCTGGGGAAAGTCCTCCACGTGAGCAGCTTGTACGCAAACAGGTTTAGGCAGAGGAACTAAATGAACACGAGTGTGCGAACTGATTGAGGCGATATACATAAAAGGACGTAGTTGTCTTATCCAGCAACTTCCAGGGACATTTGCAGCAGGTTAGCCGAATGTTATGCGCCAATCAATGATTTCAAATACCTAGTGAAATGGTCATCACAGTTCCACCGTTTTCAGGCAGCAGACTCTACATATTAGGTATTATATACCATACCAGACTGGATATACTTTAGGCTAGGTCAGGCAAAAGCAAACGAATTTATATATCATGTGAAAATAAGGTTGAATGTTGAAATTTGAGTTTGTTATATTGACCTAATGCTAATATTTGCTTTGTATGTGCAAGCTTTGTTAAAGAAGAAGGCCGATTATCGTTCAGAGTTTAGAGAACATTGTAGTGTTTTTGTATGTACATTAGCTTAACTTTTCTATACTTTTAACTCTGTTATAAGGCTTACTATATGTTGAGGATAACATATGACGCTTGCAAACACATAGAGTGAAGAAGCACCTGTACTTTATATTCTAATCATTCATATCAACTTAAACCTGCCTTAAACACCTTTGCTCTATATTCACATTAAACACGTGACACCCAAGAGAGAGTGTAGACACCAATGGATATTGATCCACTACCCACGAATCCACGAACAACGGATCCCAGCACTACTACAACTTAATAATATTTAACAGATTTGAATTAAATTCAATGTGTTTACAAATAAGAAAAAAAAATGTTATACACTCTATACTGTCTAAGATTTGAGCAAAGCGTGAATCCTATATTCTCGAACAAGAAAATGTTGCCAGACATCTAGATATCTCCATATTGTACCACAAGGTTGACATTCAAGAAAAACTGTAAATATATTGCAATAGTTGCTGTGATCAGTGCCCATGTCATCTAGCAGAAAGTGAAGTGTTGGATATGATACTGTAGTACGGCACCATTCTATACAATTGTTGAACTTAGGCCTTCAGACACTGATGAAACATTTCATCCTTATTGAAGAGTGCTTTTGTGACAACTTTTTGTCCCATCAACCAGAAAATACAGATATATATATGAATACTTAAGATGCATAGCACATAGAAATGAACGTCTACAGGCTCCTCTTTTGCATACATTCATATCATGTATAAATTTATAGTGGAAATCAATTGATTTAATATATCTTTTATATTTTCTACATTGATTAATTATATCCTTCAACACCAAAGGTTCAGTAAGTTGTCTTTGTCACTTAAAGCATACATAGAGTACTTTACTAGTTTTAATTAAGGCATCATAAAATTGTCGGCCTCCTTTACTATGATTTGATGTTAATGATAGTGCAAGACATGCTCTTTGAACACCTGCACTAAAGGTTCAAATTGTAGGCGTGTTTCAACCCTGTCCTTCATGATGGAGGAATGTTGAATTGTTTGATAGGCATTACTTTGAAGCTGACGGATACAGTTTATGGATAACAACTTCATTATTTACTGTAAAGGTAACGTTTCGGTATAGATCCTTATACCGTTGTCTTTGGAGGAATGTTCATCAACAATTTGTTATGATCTAAAAACGTATGCTTATACACACACACAGTTGTCCTGGAAACCTGGAAACTCATTAAACCTTTTTCGTTATCTATGATTTTAACTGGATGTACCGTCCTATTCACTCAAAGCTTTATCACTAAGTCGGAATCTTTTAAGTGAATATTAAGCCCCAGGGTTTCAACAACAAGACTCTACTGTAAAACTTTGCCCAAGTATTTAAAACATCTCTCCAACATGGGTTATCGACATAATAATGCATTCTGATACGTGCTCCTTAAATAAAAAATGGGGAAATGGAAAATATGATACTTTGGCTGCAGTTATATTGATTATATTGCTTGTTTCAGAAATGACAATTTTAAAGAATCAGTAAAAGCACTGAGATCTATCATCGTAAGATAACTTTTGCATTATTTAATTGATCCTCTTTATGTTATCAGGTTTGTCATTCCAGATGAAGTTACAAAAAATATTATTTAATGTTTTTATTTAACTTTCAGGCGGATTCGGCAATGTTCTAAAATATGTATTGTTGTTGACAATGCAAGTGTCTTGACAATCGTAATTTTATCAAATAATTCCAAGTTTCTTCTCCTCCTGCTCGCCTTTATTAACATGTTTTAGTCTTTTTCTGGTGTTAACGACCCAGAGGTCCTCTCGTTGTGGTTTTAAGTTTACATCTCTAGTACGTCAAAATTGCCTACATGCCAATCTGATTGTGTATTTTTTCACATAGCCTAACATTACTATTTGTAATTGTGCCAATTAAATTGCTTAATTTTATCTACATTAATCATGAGGCTGATATTTCTTTAAATATGTCAAAAGTAGCTTTGAAGCTTGATTCTGTTCAGTATGTCGGTATTATCAGCATATTGTCCAACTTCATTTTCAGTAGTGTTGAGATTTATCCTTATATTTTTTTTTATATAACCATATTCCCTAAAACGTCAGCCACAAAAAGATAGAGATACGGAGCGAGAGGGTCTTCCTGCCTGCTCAATCTTTCATTTTGATGCGGATCATGAGTCTGATGATCCGTTTTCTAAGAACTGGGCCGAGACCATACTTTTCAAGGACTAACATCATCAAAGCTTTCGATACAGTATCAAACGTTTTGTTTTTTCAAAATCAATCAAAATCAGCAGTTCATGCTTTATTTTGATTCCTGGTTTTGTTTCACAGATCACATAGTTTTGAAAGATGGAATGCTTGAAAGACCAACACCGCTTCCAACTTCTCACTTTCGTAAATCGTTTTGGAAAGATGAAAAGCTTGACAGCTCGACATTGCATCTAACTTCCCACCTTCGAAAATGTGTTCAATCGAAATCTTAGAAGCTCGAATGTTCTGCCAAATTTGAATTTGATATTTGTATATTTTGAACACCTAATGTTAAGGAGGCGGTTGTGCTGCTTGTTTACTCTCGTCTTTATTAAACGAGACCAACAAGGGTTTACGACAATGCAAAACTGATTTTGCTGTTGGGTTACGTCATGATATTAGTGGGGAGTCTCTTTGGAGTGGGTTGCTTACTTGTATTAGTGGGAGCTTATTATGATGGATTTGGTCCTTTTATCACCCTGTTTAGGGTGTGTTGTGTTGTTGAAAAAAACTTTCTTAACCAGCTTCAAACAGAGATAGATCAGGATACATGTTGTGCCTGCTTCGTTTTGGATCAGATATTAAAACCTTTCTTCTTTGATCCACAACCACATATTTCACTTTCAGGGCAAGGATCAACCTTATTGTATATCAAAATGAGCTTATGATGAAATTGGTTAATTATCATGTAAAATATGTCTATGGATGCATGTATCGGCTTTTTTTGTTATTTTATGAGGAACTCTCCAGTATTCATGTTTTTCTTGTTTCCAAAATATCGCTGATAATGTCGTGTTGTGATATTTGTGATGCACTGTTGTTTGTATTGATGACACGAACCTGTAAACGTATTGAGCATTAGTGCCGGTCCTTACTCTCACTATAAGTTAGTTGTCTATAGATGTGTGTAATGTATGATGCATCATCTCACAAACAGTTGTGAAGTCAGTTTGTTTTGCCAGCATGGTCGAGGTCATAACGTATCGCTGTCACTGAAACGGTGATCTTGCGAATTGAACTACTTCTGTTTTCAGACGAAAGTGAAGTATGTGTACTCAGTATGGTTGAATACTCTCTCCAATGTAGCGTTCTGAATTAATTATATAAAAAATGTTTGATGCCAACCTTCCTACAATTGTGTTCTGAGTGAGTGATTCAATTATTCCAGTTATATCACGGCCTGTCAGCTTAATTTGTGGAGGAAAGCCCTGAGTGATGCAGGTCTCAGACGTTTACCACTTCAGTAAAACCCACGAGAACGGGTATGGTGCTGACAAACCTAGAAACATAATCGGGGCGAACCGAGATTCGAACCCACAATCAGGCGTGCCCAAGAGACGCAACTCTGCACAGTAAATCGCGGCACCTTAGACGACTGGGCCACCCGCGCCCCCAATTGTGTTTTGAAGAAAACAAACAATATATTCAATACACAAATACATCTCCCAATCAGTTTCCTGAATTAAGTAGGGACTATATTGAATACAAACCCTGCCCTCTTGAGTGTTCTGTACTATGTACTATATTCAACATAAACCCTCCCCGTTGTAATTGTAAACGAAAAGCATATATCATAATTGTGTATTAAAATTATCTGGGATGAGAACATAGAGGTTAACCCACATACTAATTGTTGGCTACAAGATTCTCCTGGACGAGAACTGAGAGTTTCAGATTTAAGCACAGGGAGCGTCAGAGTAAGGTTTTAGATCATGAACACCTGAAGGGGAATAACTCTTGGCAACCTCTCCGGTAGGAGTTCAACAAGCATCAGTGCAGTACAGGGAACATGAAACCTGCCAGTGTGTCAAATATTTAGGGATAACAAATACAACTTGTTAACTGGCCTCCGCTCGCCGAGATCTCTTACAAACTAATACCCTTGATTATATGTATCAACTGTTTTTGCAAAGTGTCAAGTCATCCCTCTTGCCAAAGCGAGTGAGTATGGTTTTAAGCTGCGTTTAGCAATATTCCAGCAATATCAAATGAGCTATTGTACCCACGTGGGGAATCGAACCCGGGTCTTCTGCGTGAGGAGCCAACGCTTTAACAACAAGGCTACCCCACCGCTGGATAATTTGTGTCGGTATTTATGCACTGATCTATAAATCAATATGATAAGGCGCTCTCGATTGTCTCTTATTTTTCTATTTGGATAAATCAGTTGAAAAAGAATGGGCTATTTGACTATTATTGAACAATATCAGATCATCAATATACCTTGTTAAGAGGCACTGTAATTTATTGTTAAACAGTGTTGTAACTGTATTACATTGTTGGGATTCCAAAGAAGCCTGTAACAGTATGTTTTGATGCTTCTTAGTTGTCAGAAATGTAGAATACCCATGAAGATCCGGATTAGAATAGGTCTTCAGGGACCCATGCTTGCCGTAAAAAGTGACTTTGCTTGTCATCAAGAGGCAACTAACGGGATCAGTCGGTCAGGCTCGCTGACTTGGTTGATGCATACCAATTTCTTTGTTTGGCTAAGTAATTATTGCAGTGATGCTTACAAAATATGGTTATGCTATCTAAGGTGTTTGGTTCAAATAAGATATGATATACCTAAAATTCTAAAATCAAATGTTTGTACAAATATTAATACAACTATTAAATTACTTTCTGCCAATATACACAATAATGTATCTGCTACATTCTTGTTCACTAGGAATATTGCAACAAGCAACAAACAAACACAAATAACATTGTGAAAGTAGCTGTCCATGACACAGTATCGCCCAAAGAAGTGTGACTGAAGGAGTAGTCTCCCTTGCACTATGCGTGTCCTGACAGTGAGCCTCTTCCACCTGACTGCTGTGATGATGTTGGTGTGACTGAAGGAGTAGTCTCCCTTGCACCGCGCGTGTTTTGACAGTGACCCACACAATAAACGTTGCAATCTTCTCAGCAAGAGCCTCGTTAAAGGTTTTCATGTACCAATCTGAAATAAATGTAAAATTTCATGTTTCGTTTTGTCTGATACTCCCATTTCATAAATCGAGCTGTAAATGTAATGCACACCAAGACTTTGATAAACGTAGATAAGTTGTATTTAGGCTCATGTAGGAAAATATTTTAGAATATTCTCATTCGTTGAAGTATTCTCAGTCCCCATTTTGTGATTTTCTGGTTGATTTGTCCTCAGTAGCCACTTTGAAACGCTTCAGAACATTGTTTGACTGGGACGGAATTTCCGGGGGTTGTAACTCTATGTAGTCAGAAACTGCTAATTCAACTTCAATTTCTCGTTTGGATATTTCCGATGATGCCGAGATAGTTTCGTTAAAAGTGTGTAGTAACACCAGGAACGCCCATATCAAATTCGCAAAAATACATCCATTCATCAAAATCATCGTCCTGAACAGCGTTCGCCATGGTTCTGGTATCGATGATGTCATGGGCCATGCAGTTGGGTTCGCTCACCCCACGAGACGCGTTCAATATTAGCCAACAGATGTTTGTGACGACAATTATATTATAAAAAGATTAAAATTCATTCTTTATTTGAAGACTAAGATTATGGCATTAGTTTTGGTATAAAGTGCAGAATCTAAAAGAAATTGTCTTATGATGATTCCGTCCCAAATGACATTAGTTTTTGACATTGAAGAATTCCCTTAAGTAGTTCTGTATGTCTCCGCTCGATTGACAACGTCATCACAAAAAAAACATACTGACGTTCATCGAGAAATGAACGACAGTCAGCTTGGTCGTGTTCACCTAGGCGAGGTCACCCGCTTCTGTCAATTTTAACTCATGGTGCATTAAGGTCCTGGTGCTTGTGTAGAAAGGAACATGTAAACGTATTGGGCATTTGTGTATGTCCTTAGTCTCATAACATGTCAGGTATTTGGTGCATATAATCGTGTCACAGGTCACATTGACTCTATACGCGCATGCACGGTCAAACATACGAAACGGGAGAATTCAACATTGAATTTGCCGCCTGTCCTTCTTGTTTCTTAAAATGTCTAACATTGTTGCGAAGGAACCAGGGTGGCGTTAGGGAGATCGAGGTAACTTGGAATAATGCCGACATCAAGGTGATGATTCTGAACTTCCATGTTGCATGATATAACAACCAGCGGTGCTCAGAACGTGTTTTACTGGCAGTGTTGACATCCACGTCCTGTATGATGCATCATCTAACAACCAGCGGTGCTCAGAACGTGTTTTACTAGCAGTGTTGACTTCCACAGCCTGTATGATGCATCATCTAACAACCAGCGGTGCTCAGAACGTGTTTTACTAGCAGTGTTGACATCCACAGCCTGTATGATGCATCATCTAACAACCAGCGGTGCTCAGAACGTGTTTTACTAGCAGTGTTGACATCCACAGCCTGTATGATGCATCATCTAACAACCAGCGGTGCTCAGAACGTGTTTTACTAGCAGTGTTGACTTCCACAGCCTGTATGATGCATCATCTAACAACCAGCGGCGCACACAGCGTGTTTTACTAGCAGTGTTGACTTCCACAGCCTGTATGATGCATCATCTAACAACCAGCGGCGCACACGACGTGTTTTACTAGCAGTGTTGACGTCATGAAGTAATCCTGTCACTGAAACAATGATCATGTGAATTGAAATTCTCCTTCCATTCTGAAATGCAACTGATAGGCATTGAAGTACATGTCCTCAATATGGTTGAATACTCGTCTCGGTAGAATGTTCTAAATTAATCGTAAACTATATTTGATACAAACCTTCCCAAGATTGTATAGCCTTAACATTAAATATATTCCATACACGCAAATATTTCACACTTCTGAATAAAGAATAGAATATATTAGATAAAAATCCTACCCTCTAAAATGTTCTGTATGAAACATTAACTATATCCATTAAGTATAACTTCCCAATTTTGCGTTCTGGTGAATGATTATGAATCTTATCTCCTTTATATCACTCTTACAATATTACGAAATTTACAAACAAACTCTCCCCATGTAGAATTTACAACAACAAAAAAAACTATATCAGGTTAAAACCCTCCCCTTAAAGTTTTCCGCACTACTTATATCATATATTATATATTCACTATAACCCCCCACACATCTGTCCTTTTAAATGCTTTAGAGTATATTGTAAAACGAATTTGAGTAGGTGCTAGTTGGAGTACAATGGGAAATTAGAGATACAATTCTGGTATTTACAGTGTCAATAAAAAGTATGAGTGGTGAGATGTCTGGGAATCCGATTGCTTTCTGATGCCGACAAAAGGGAAGAATGCAAACTCCCTAGGTGTGTGTAATGACATAAAAAGCTAAAGGGAAACAACTCTTGCCAACTTCTTGTCTCCATGCTCGACAATCTACGTTGTGGTACAGGGATCACAGGGAATATGAAACCTGTTATTCAATACATAACACTAGCTCGCCCCTTAGTAACAGCAGTGAGAGGCAGATGAATGATGATGTAATTGCAGGGTAATCATTGAATATGTAGGTTTAAAGTTCACAAGCAAAGGGAATGCAGCTTATTGCATTTTTTAAATCTTATTTGCTAGGTGTATGTTCTTGTACACAGTGCCCCTGAATACGTTGATCAAGTGTGAAAAATTAATAAATCAGGGTTTGTACTTCTGTACTTCATGTAGGCCGCCCTCGCTGAACTTGATTACCTGTGGTCATAAAATCCAGAACCACTTGGTACTTCACTCCAGGTAACACACAACACAGACAACACTGTTATGGTTGTCGCTAAGGAACCAGGTTGGCGGGAGGTAGGTCGTGTGACTCAGTTCGGAATAATGCTGACGTCAAGGCGACAAGATTAACTTTCAGGTGACACAAAATCACGAAAAGAAAAAAAATAAGTATTGTGGATCCAAAACACTTCAAACAAATTAAATGTTGCGCATCAACCAGCCAAAACATATTTTGTTTTATGTTGTTTAATGTCTGTATGTCAGTTATTTGTGAACAAACTTCATGTTGGAGGCTGGAGCTGATGTAATATTTCAACATTAAGGGAAAGTTGACTACCTGCAGGTTCAGCCCTTAGTGTCCCACCTTTGGAGTTACATTTGAGCTTGCCCTATCTTCCAAGAATTCAAAGAGTGGCATATGACTATGGTTTATCGCCGTTTTAATAGTGTTCCAGTTATATC